AGTGGGATTTATCCCTGGAATGCAAGGATGGTTCAACATACAAAAACCCATCAATGTAATACACCGCATTAACAAAATGAAAGACAAAGCCCACCTTATGATCTGAATTGATGCAAAAAGCATGTCAAAATTCCACACCCTTTTATAATAAAAAATCCTCAACAAATTAGAAATAGAAGAAAACTACCTCAACATAATAAAAGCCACATATGAAAAGCCCACAACAAACATTATACTCAATGGCAAAGACTGATAGCTTTCCTTCTAAGATCAGAAACAAGGCAAGAATGCTCACTATCACCACTACTACCCGACATAGTATTGGAAATCCAATACAGTTAGAAAAGAAAAGATAAATAAAGAGCATCCACATTAGAAGACAAGAAGTAAAATTATCTGTTCACAGCTGACACAATCTTTTATGTAGAAAGCCCTAAAAAAATATATTTAAAAACTGTTATAACTAATAAACAATTTTAGCAAGATTTTAGGATAGAAAGTCAGCATATAAAAATCAGTTGCATTTCTCTACAGTAACAATGATCAATGTGAAAAACAATTCAATTTACTATAGCATCAAAAAACAAAATAATTAGGAATAAGCCTAACCAAGGAAGTAAAAGACTTGTACACTGAAAACTATAAAATGTTGCAAAAAGAAATCAAAGAAGATATAAATAAATAGAAAAACATCCTATGCTCATGGTTTGGAAGCTTCAACATTGTTAAACTGTCCGTACTACTCAAATCAATCTATAGATTCAATCCCTATCAAAATCCCAATAATATTTTTTGCAGAAATACAAAAAACAGTCTGAAATTCATATGGAAGCTCAAGGGACCCTTCACAGTCAAAACAGTCTTTAAAAGAACAGGGCTGGAGGCCTCATACTTCCTGATTTCAAAACATACTACAGTTGACCTTTGAACATGGGGGTTAGGGGTACTAAATCTCCGGCACAGTTAAAAATCCCTGTATAACTTTAACTCCAAAAAACTTTACAGTCATCCCTCAGTATCTGTGGGAGATTGGTTCCAGGACCCATCATAGATACCAAAATCCACATATGCTCAAGTGCCATATATAAAATGGCAGAGAACATTACCAGCTACAAATTAAAAATACTATTTTTGATCCACAGTTGGGTGAATCCACAAATATGAAACCTGGGTATATGGAGGGCCCACTGTATGTTTTTTGAGAAAAAATCCACATATAAGTAGGACCCACGCAGTTCAAACCTGTGATGTTCAAGAGTCAACTGTATGAAGCAACAGTAATCAAGGACAGTGTGGTGATGCATAAAAACACAAAAATAGACCAATGGTAGAAAATTAAGAGCCCAGAAATAACCCCTTGCATATATGGTCAAGTGATTTTTGCTTAGGGTACCAAGACTACACCAATAGCGAAATAAAGACTATTGGTGTTGGGAAAACGGGTATCTACATGCAACTGGACCCTTATCTTACACCATATATAAAAATTAACCCCAAGTGAATTAAATACCTAAATCTAAGACCTGAAACTATAAAACTCCTGGAAGAAAGCATAGTAGAAAAGTTTTATGATACTGGTGTGGGTAGTGATTTCTTGGATATGACACAAAAAGCACAAGTAACAAAAGTAACACAGACAAACGGGACTACAACAAATTTAAAAACTTTCATGTGTTAAAATAAACAATCAGCCAGGCCGGGCGTGGCTCAGCGGTTGAGTGTCGACCTAGGATCCAGGCGATCGGGGTTCGATTCCCAGTCAGGGCACAGGCCCGGGTTGCAGGCTCGATCCCCAGTCGGGGGCGTGCAGGAGGCAGCCGATCAGTGACTCATCACTGAGGTTTCTATCTCTCTCCCTCCCTCTCCTTTCCTCTCTCGGAAATCAATAAAGATATTTTTTTTTAAAATAAATAAATAAAAATAAACAATCAATAGAGTGAAAAAACAATCTGAGAAATGGGAGAAAGTATCTGCAAATCATATATATCTGATAGTTTTTAATATCCAGAATTTATAAGAAACTTCTAGAACTTAACAACAACAAAACAACTCAATTAAAAAAGATGGATGAAGGATTTGAATAAACAATTCTCCAAAAGAGATATAAAAATGGCCAACAAGAATATGAGAAAGATATTCAACATCACTAATTAAGAGAAACGTGAATAAAAACTACACCCACTAGGATGGCCACTATGAAAAGAGCAAAAAATAACAAGAATTGGCAAGAATGCAGAGAAAGTGGAACCTCTGTGTACTGCTGGTGGTAAAGTAAAATGGTGCAGCCACTATGGAAAACAGTATGGTGGTTCCTCAAAAATATTAAAAATATAATTAACCTATGATCTGGCAATCCCACTCTGGGCATACAGACAAAAGAATCAAAGCAGGGTCTCAAAAAGGTATGTGCACATCCACGTTCACCCAGCATTATTCACGACAGTCAAGAGGCAGAAGCAACCCAAATGTCTACTGACAGGTGACCGGATAAAGAAAATGTGGTAGACAGACACAGTGGATGCCACGCAGCCTAAAAAGAGCCAGTGCGGCTCTATGGTTAGAGCATCGGCCTGCACATTGGAGGGTCTCGGGTTCGAGTCCTAGTCAAGGGCACATGCCTGGGTTGCAAGTCTGATCCCCACCCCTGCGTGGGGCACGTGTGGGAGGCAACCAACCCATGTGTCTCTGTCACACCAATGCTCTCTCTCTCTGTCTCTACCCCTCCCTCCACTCTGTCTAAAAATCAATGAAAAAAGGTCCTCGCTCCTTGGTGAGGGTTAAAAAAGAAGGAACTCCTGTCACGAGAGACAATACAACATGGATGAACCCCAAGACCATTTTGCTAAGTAAATGAGCCAATCACAAAAGGACAAACACTGCTTTATTCCACTCACACGAAACATCAAAAGTAGTCAAAATTATAGAAACAGAAAAAGGTGTCATGGTTGTCAGGAGTGGTGGGGGGACAGGGAATTAGTGTTTAGTGGGTACAGAGTTTCAGTTTTGCAAGAAAAAGTGCTAGAGATCTGTTGCCCAACAATGTAAATAAACTTCACACTACTGACCTGGATGCTTAAAGATGTTAAGATGGCGCATTTAATATGTGTTTTTACCACAAAAATATCAAATGGAAACTCAAACTAATATGTGCAGTTTCTGAAATAAGAATGTGTTGGACACAACAGAAGTGCACTGTGAACAGGAAAGGGGCCAGGAGAAAGCAGGCAGGCCGAAGCTCGGGAAGAAAAAAGACGGAAAACGCAGGAGGAAAAAGTACAAAACACACAGGAGACACGGTCGAAGGCGCAGGAGAGAGGAAAGAAGCGCACAGGAGTAGTTTAAACAATGGCCAGGCTTTTTCCAAAGGACGCAAGTTTCCTAACGGTACATATATGTGCACTTTTCCGTAGGTATATTTATACTTCAATAAAATGAAAAAAAAAAAGCCACCATGGGTTAAAAAAACACCCACATGCTACTTATGAGAGAAATTTAAATATAAAGCTACAGAAAATTTAAAGTAAAAGGGTAGAAAAAGATGAACTGCGCTAACACCAACCAAAAGGAAGCTGGTATAACAATAACATCAGACAAGACAGACTTTAAGGCGAGAAACATTATTGGAGATAAAGAAGTGCATCTCATGATGATAAAAGGGTCAATTTACCAGGAAGATGTAACAATTCAGAAAGTGTTCGCACCTTAAGACAACTTCAAAAAGCAACTGACGAGCTAAAAGGAGGAACAGACAAATGGACATTTTTCCAAGATATTTATGTATCCACAGAACACAGAGCAACTGTACAAGAGACGGTGTCTAGGGCAGAAAGTGGGAGAAAGGAAATGGGGGTTCTGAAAGTGGAGATCAAAGAAATAAAAGAACCAAAAAAATAAGTGAGAAACCCTTGCCATAATCAAGAGGTCAGCAGACTTTTTCTGTTAAGATGGTAAATATTTTAGTTTTTAAAGGCCGAAAGGCAAAATCAAGTAACTGTAAAGGCCTTCCTTTCACATTTTACAGCGTAAGAAGCGTCTCAGCAGGCAGGCAGCGGGCCAACCCCTGTCCCGACGCAGAGTGACAGTCAGCCATGAACAAAGGTAGGATTCACTCAACTCACTGTGCCTAAGGCCTTAATTTAAAACATAAGGAAGGAGGGGAGGAAGGGAGGGAAGGAGGAAACTGGCTGTCCTACCCTCTGCTGCTCACTGCCACCTCCACACCCAGAAGGGCACCCGTTCCAGGGACAGTGGACACATTCCGGGTCGCAGGAGCAACAGGCACAAGCACCTCCTGCTTTACAGGACAAACATGCCCCTTCCTCAAGGGCAACCTCCCAGGGGATGTCCAACTCCCTAATATGCAACTCCAGGCCCGTCAGCACCCAGCCCTGGGAGGATCGTAAAAATCACTAATGGACATAAAAGTGAGGCCAGAAAAGATCTGCAGAGACTGTTGGTCCGTGGTCAGCACCAAGTAGCCTGTAATAGCCCCCAAAAAACCTAGAAGCAATGCACTAAGCATTTTGCTCACTCAATACTTGTCCTTCCTTACAGAACCTGTGTTACTGGAGGCCAGCGATGTGTCAACTAAAATCCTGCCCTTTCCGCTCTCTTGCACATGCGAGTGGCCAATGAAATGTAAGAAGCTGCAGGGTGGAGTTTCTGGGTGAGCTACTGAAAGAGGTACACTCAGCTGGGACACACTCTGCCTTGCCCCTTCCTCCTTCCTGCTGCTAGGACATGGACGTGATGGCTGGAGCTGCAATGACACGTGGTGACCATGGGCAGAACTTGAGGATGAAAGCCACATCCTAGAGCCTAGAGACGGTAGACTGAAGACAGTAGAGCCACCATTCCAACCCAGAAACCTAACTCTAGACTACTTCTGTGCAAAAGCAAAGCAAACCTCTATCTTGTTTAAGCCATTGTTGGGAGGATTCTGTGGTCAACAGCAAACCCAATCCTGAGAGCCCATTAGAAAAGTGAACTCAGCCACTTGCCTTCAAAGAGTGGAATGGAGTCATTGGAAAAGGTGTCCAAGGCAAGGAGGTCTTTGCCATCTTTGGACCCGCTGCGTTTGTGCTTATGTTTTCTTCGAAAGAAGGATCTGCGTGCAGCCGCTGACAGTGTCTTTGAGGCGTTGCTGTCATCTTTGACTTCGGACATGCTGAGCCTCCTGGAGAATTCTTGGTCCATCCTGCAGTCACAGGAGACGGCAGTGCTGGGACGGGACATCTCCCGCCCCGCCTGCCCATGAGGAGGGCGAGGGCTGGAAGTCCAAGCTCCTCCAACACTCCTCTGAAAGTCTCATGGATCCTTCACCCACCCACGCCACCGAGGACACTGGAACCACCGCTGCAGGGGTGACACAAGCCCCAGTGCCGGGGGCAAGCTCTCAGGGCAGGCCAAATTCTACATTCAGATGGGTGTCCGGGAACTAAGACAGCCTTCAGTCGGAGGCAATACGAGTCATGCTCCCTGCCGTGGAGGAAGGAAGCGCTGATACCACTGCAACGTGCACAGACTCAGACATTACGCTAAGTTAACGAAGCCAGGCACCAAAGACCACAGCTATATGACTCCATCACGCTAACGTCCAGAACAGGAATATCTACAGATACAGAGAGGCGATTCAGGGTTGCCTGGGACGGGGGCGGGGGCAGGGGAGACAGAGCGCAAAGCAGGATCGCTGAAGGGTCCGGGCCTCTCAGGTGATGAGAATGTTCTAGAGCTGGCTGTGGGGAAGGTGGCATATATCCGTGAATATACTAAAAGCCGTGAATAGTAAACTGCATGGTATGTGAATTGTATCTCAATACATCTGTTAAAAATATAAAAAGCTGTGTCTCCTCAGTCACCAGCGTGCTTCTGCACAGGGCTGATGTGTGCACGGCACTGACGCCAGGAGCAGGTTTTCAGACAAGCGGTTTCGGAAGACGGACAGAGCGGAAGCCAAGGTGAGTAGCAGGATGAGTCCTCCCCCCTGGGGACAGTGCAAGGTGCCCCCGTCCGACCCCGAGCCCCCCGCAAAGAGCACTTACACGTATTTGCTGGGGATCTGCCCGCGCTGGATCTTCTGCGCATTCTCGTCAAGCTGCCAGGCCATCCAGGACCCAAATGTGCCCTGGGGCAGGGTGTCATCAACGTAGAGAATGTCGTCCTTCTTAAAGCTCAGCTCATGCTCCACCTCTGCCAGCCGGTCATACAGGGCCCTGGGCCAGGCGACAGAGGGAGGGGATCAGGAGGCCACACACCCGGGCAGCCAGGCTCCCGGGTTGGCCCCCCCGCTCTGCGCTTTTCCAGACCGTGATCAGGACCTGCTGTCTCCTCATCTTGGTGGCGGTTCCCAAAGGGAGCCCGGGCTTGACATAACAGGACAAAGAAGCTGCCTTTCCTCCCCGAGACTGGGCTCCGTGGGGACAAGGCTACCTCAAGCCCATCAGACAGACGACTTCCTACCAGGGACCAAGGCCGTGTCTACCCTTCCGCATGAGCCTTTCCATCTGTCTCCCTCCTGAGTCAAAAACGGTGGTTCCTGCAGACGGGAACTCCCCAGGATGGAAACCGGTCATCCCCCACCAAGGAGGGGGTCCTAGAGACAGGGACCCACACCTCCTGGTACACAGTTGACCAGTGCTTGTATTCTTTTTGTGGCCTCAGATCTTCAAGAACAGGAAGGAAGCTAAGAGCACCCCCTAGAAACTGCCAGATGCCCATTCCCCCAACATTTCAAGGCAGTACTTGGAGGCACTGTGGACACACTGCAGAGGGATCGGCAGAACTGGGTCAGAGAAAGGAGGGAGAGGAGGGCAGCCCACAGGAAAATGGGGCTCTGCAGCCTCAAAATCCCCCAGGCCCCAAACCCTAAAGAGGGAGCCTATCTGGCCCTGCAAGTCCTCGGGGTTTTTTCTAAGCCACAAGCATCCTGCCAAGAGCTTGCAGCTTAGGGCCCACGTAATGATCACGGCCCCAACCTTTGGGGCAAGAACAGAGACACTGTTCTGATGGAACAGTCTCCATCGAAAGTCCCTCCCCTGGCCCCGAATCCCTGGAACCCCCGGGACCAGCACCTGATGTAGAAGCTGTCGCCAGGCAGGCCCTTGACCTTGGTGAACTCCTCTGGGCGGTACTGCACCTTCAGGCGGACGCCATCCTTGGGCTTCAGCATCTCCACATAGACCTCCTCCACCGTCTTGCTGCGCACGTCCAGACTGCCGTACTGCCCAGGGACGGGGAACCAGGGTCAGGGGGCAGAAGCCAGGGCAGTCTGGGCGCCCATGAGGGGTAGATTGTGGGATAAGGTGTAGATTCAGCATCCCTTAACCAAGAAGCTGCCTGCCTCCCCTTTCCAGGCAGGGCCGAGGCATCTGCCCAGTTTCCACTCTGCCCTCCACAGCAGGATGGAAATGTGCCATCCCCCACCAAGAGGGGGTCCTTGAAACTGGGACCCATACCTCACAGTACACAGTTGGTGTTCTTATTCTTTTTGTGGCCCAAGAGAAACCCTATTCTGTCCCTCAGCAAGTAACGCCACACCTGACCTTGCTTAGGCCACGTGCATTTCTCAGTGCCTACAAGCCAGCTCCCCATCAGACAGGAGACCCGTGAGAAGCGGATGACACTGCAGCAGATCAGAGTCCTGCTGCCAGCAAGAGCAGAGCACCTTCCCTCCAGATGCCGGCACCCAAGCGGGGCCCTGCCCGCCTCCCTGTGATATTCCCAGAGGGTCCTGGCAGCCTCTCCTCCTCCTATGTCCCTGAGAATGCAGGAAGCCTGATATGCACACAGAGGGGCCTGGCCTGCCACTCAGCAGCTCAGAACTCACCTCGAGGATGAGGTCCCCTGGCACGAGGCCATCAGGGCCCCTGGCAGGACTGTCATCCTCCACCTCGGCCACAAACACCCCGTGCAGGTTCCCACCACATAAATGCACTCCAAGCTCCAGCTGGGACTTTCTGAGAAAGACAACTCGTGGTTCTGGGGGCTTCTTGTTGGCATCTCCCACAGTCCTTTCAAGAGGAAAATGGAGTTCCTTCATTACGCACAGGGAGGGAGGGGGCACAAAGACGACAAAACAGTGGCCGAGGCCCTGCTTCCGCTTGCTCCCACGTCTCCTGAGGGCTCAGAGCCAAGGGAGCTGGGAGGCGGTCCCATCGCCGACTCTAGTACTAGCGAGTTAGCTTATAGGCAGGATGCTGAGGGTTGGCAGAGGTGAAAACATGGGCCCCCAGTCACAAAGTCAGTTGAAACAGAGCAGCAATCAAAGCCCCTGCTTTCCGGCCCAGCTGTCTACCACATGCCTTAGGCTGTGCCTCTCCCACCTGGATGGTACTTGCTTTCCCAACCTTGTTCTGCCTGAGGAAAGTGAGAGCCAGTCCCACTGACCAGAACACAACCCATGTGGCACATGTTTACTGAGGGGCTTCTACGGCCCAGGGACTGAGCTAAACCACAATGAAGAACCCCTTGCCATCAGGGAACTCAGAGTGCAGTGAGGGAGGCTAGGACGCTGGCAAGAGGCAGAGTGCAGGAAAGGGGACAGGAGCAGAGCCTGATGAAAGGGACTTCAGGGGAAAAGCCAGGTGGAGACAGTGTGCTGCAGATAAGTTCCAACATGACAGACTCTGGTGCAAAGGATGCAGAGTGGCCTCATGCTGAGAGGACTTGGTCGAGGCCCCACCACGACAGGGACACGGTTCCATGCAGGACTGCATGTCCTGGTCATGTGGCCCTCTCCCCGTCTCCCCCTCCAGCTCCTACGTGTGCCAGGCCTCCACCTGCCCACAGGAAGGCTGATTGCTCCTCTTGACTGCTCTCCACACTCACCCTCTGCACACCTAACCCCTGCTCATCCTGAACGTTCTGACTTAGCTGTCGCCATTCCCTGCCACACTCCTGACTGCTCCATTGCCACCTTTACTGTCCATCCTAATATGTACAAGAGAGAAAAAGAAAGCAGGAAAGGGCAGGAAGAAGGAAGGGAAAAAAGAAAGGTGTGCTCCCCACCCCAGATCCTGGTAGCCTGCTGTGTGGTCTGCAGCACAGAGTGACACCCTATCCAGTGCCCACGCCTCTCAGAGGATGTGCTCAGGCCATGACAACGACCCACCTGGACCACCCCACTCACTGAGGTGCATGGGGGAAGGCTCACAGCACGCATTTGCTGACCTGGAGTTGGGGGCACTCTGCTTGGTCGGGGGGGTGCCAGGACCCTCATCCTGCTCCATCAGCGGGTCGATGACAGAGGGATGCTCCGGGGTGGTAGCACCGCTGCCCTGGAGAGTGGAGTGGGTACTGGCAGGGTCCAGGTGGGAGCTGGGGATATAGGACAGGAAGGATAAAGAGCAGCTCACAGGCCCCGGCAGCCGGAGCCGCTTCCTCCGGTGGGAAGCAGGGCTGGGCTGTGAACAGGGACCAGGTTACCCGACCCTGCATCCTGAGAAGGGCAGATACCCTGGGGGCTTGGGCTCGGGTCATGCCCCCTGCAGAATCTGCCTGTCCTCTCCTCACCTGTCCTCAACTCGGGATCCTCTGTGAAGGTGTTGGTCTAGGGGACACACAAATTTGCTGTCCCTTTTCCGCTGTGCATCTTGTCCCCCCTTCACTGAGCTGTGCAAGGTTGAGTGGCAGGGGCATGTCTTCCCCTTCCCTCATCTGCCCTACATCCCACAGCATAAAGGCAAATACAAGCAGTGTCTGCTCGTGGACAGGGGCTGTGTGTGTGAATCCCACCCCAGGGCCTGGCTACCACACCCCAGGTGTGGAGCCTCCTGCGGCACAGGGGGACCCAGCCATCTCTTTCCACCCCCATCTCAAGAGAAGACATCTTCCCTCTAGTATGTCCTTCTTCCAAAATCCAAGGTTAGTCCACTCTCCTCTTTTGGCAACAGAATGCCCAGAACTCGCAGCTGGCACTCTGGGTCTCCCCAGGGTGAGCCGTGCACCTGCCGCACCCGTCACCTCCCCCAGCCCGGAGGGTCCCCGGAGGTGCAGGCCCTCACCTGGACCGGGAGTGGCTGCTGAGCTGGTGCATGTGTGGGTTGTACTGGGCCAGGATGGTGATGGTGTCACACTGCTGCCCGATGATGAGCCGGGCCTGCTGCTCCGTGGCACTCCGCAGATTTATGCCATTGAACTAGGAAACACCCAGAGCAGGCTCGCTGACGGCAGGGATGGGAATGTGGGAGCATCATTCTTCCACAGAACAGAGGCTCCCACTTACCTCAAGCAACTGATCTCCATACTCGAGGCCGGCCTGGTGAGCGATACTGCCCCCCGTCACCTTGGAGACGTAGACGCCGCCCTTCTCTCCACTCACAATGGAGATGCCCAGCGGCTCCGAGCCCTTCTGCAGCTTCACGTGGCGAGGCTCCTCCATGTAGGGCCTTGGAAGAGACAACAATTTTGGGATTTGGGCCTAAAGGAAGGGTTTGGGAAGATCTGAGGCGAGGCATGCAGTCAGCTATGCAGACAGGGCTAGGGAGTGCCCGATGCCCCTACACTGGCACAGCTGGATGGGAACAGGATGATCCACCTTGTATGACAGTGATACACATTCCCACAACCTCATGCTATACAAACACAACACTCCAAATGGACACGGAGGCACCCAGACACAAAGACACAGAGAGTGGTTCAGCTGAACTATAAATACTGATATACATGGGAAAAGCAAAGATTTTCACAGCGTGAGGAGAGTCCCCTTACAATGTGAGATTTACAAACCCCCAGTGGGGTCTAAAGATACCCTTGGAGGAAAAAAATGGCTTCTGGGATGACATCCACCCAAGAAGAGACAATATAAAGTATCAGTTTTTATATTTACCAGTACACAGAGTGATGTAAAATGATCACAGAAATTAAGCTATTGCAAATCCAAGCCATTAAAAAGGGAGCAGGGAGGCTCAGAGTAAGGCAGCAACCGTGCACTTGCTGGCTGGAGGGGAGCTGATCACGTGCCAAGGGCACCAGGGGGCTCAGACGGGGGCCTCAAATCAGGCCAACCTCAGACTCCTCAGGGAGGAGGACCTGGGCCTGGCAGCCACGGGCAGTCTCAGGAGGGATCTGTGATGGTGAAGACATCTGGAAGGTGCGAAAGGTTAGAAAGAGAGGGATGCTCGGAGAAGGAAGACAACCACAGACTCCTGGAACACAACAGACAGAAACACAGCCAAGTGACTGCATTTCATGCTGCCCTGAGCTCTTCCTATCAGGACAAAATCACGGCCAAAGGCCCAGGTAGAACCAGTAGGAGACCCATCTCCTTGGGCTGCCCTCCAGAGCCCAGGGGTGGGGGTGGATCCAGAAGTGCAGGCGAAGGGCAGGCCCTGAACCACCCCACCCCCGCCACCCAGAGGCACAGCAATCGCTGGAGCTCAGTGGGCCTCAGGCTGCATCCTTGCTGCTCAGAGCCCAGTACTCTCAGATGCTGAGATAAAAATCCTTCTTGACTTGTTGCTTCTCCCCTCCTGCCCTCCAAAGCATTCTCCTCTTCCCAAACTCACCTGTTCTGCAATGCCTCCCTTAACTGTCCGACTCAGATGCATCGGCCCCTGGCTTGCACCCTCCACCACTTTGAGACTCAACACATATTAGAGTGCCAGGCAGTTTAGAGTTGTAAGAACCCTCAGTGAGCAACCACCCCAACACCTCCCTCATGCCCCAGCTGAGGAAGACGGTAGTGAGGCCCAGAGCCAGGAGCAGGCCACCCGCTCAGGCCAGCCTGCTGGGCAGCAGAGCTAGTTCCTGGTTTAGGGGTCCTCATTCCCCATTGAATACCATTTCCTCTGTCCCAACTCCAAGCAACACATCTATCTCAAAAAAGAGCAGGTAAATGAATCATAACAGCCATACAATAGACACCATGAAGCCGTTACAAATGATACCAGGATTGACTGACACGGAACAATATCGAGGATATGCTATGGCTGAGAAGACAGGTTGCTGGAGCAACACATCAGTGAATGCTAGGTGACCCAAACAAGAGTGGCCTCGCGCCAGGGTCAACTCAATTGGAACTCCACCTCCTGCTGCTTCTGCCAAGAAGCGCCTTCCTTGACTGAGCCCTGCCCCGCTGTAGGGATGTGCTTCCCATCACTGTGCCCAGCAGACGCCCAGGTCATGCTCACCTGTCCTTTCTCCGCTCACCAAGGGCCACAGGGTTGACTGCAATTCTAGGCAACGTGGAAGCTGAGGTCTGGGACTGGCTACAAGAGGACAGGGTGTCGATGTTGAGGGGTGACTGCGGAGGCGTGCTGCATTCAGAATGAGACAACGAACCTGCCGAAAAAGGTGTGGGGTAACATGGGCCTCGACCTTGCATCTCAGTTCAGCAGCCAAGACCCAGAGAGAAACATGATCCAGACTCTGGCCCATGCCATGGCCACAGCACACAGCCCTGAGTTCAGATGCTGGGTTCAATAGGGCCTTTCTATCCCTACATCACTAGACAGAGGCTGGACTCAGTGTTTACAGACTGGCTGGAATGGGGAGGCAGTCAGAGCCCTGCCCAGACCCTCCCCCGAGAGGTCAACATGAACAGTGGAGGGGAAGGGCATGCTGAGTCCTCACCTCTGTCAGAGCCCACAACAGACCGCGGGTATCTTGGTGTTGATGGGATTTTAATGCGCTCGGCCTTGAACTGCAAGTTGCTTGAAGACCCTGTGGTTCCACAAGGGGACAGAACTTTAGGCCTGTGAGCAGACACCACCCCTCACCCCTTCTAGTGGTCAGGAAAGATGCACAGTCGTGACAAAGTGCAAAGCAGGGCCATGCCATTTATCCCCAAGGGCCTCAATGTGGAACAGGCAAGAAAAGCAGATACTTAACACCAGTATTTGAATAAACTGTGCAGGCTGAGCCTGCTCCAGAACAAAATCACACAAATCTCAACTTTTGCCTCAGAACATGGGAAGCAACCCAAGAGAAAGAGGCAGGTGCTCACCTGCTCTCACAGGTTGGGGCACTGCCACTATGGGGTAGGTGCCAGACTCTGCTCTGGGCTTCATTTCCTGTAAGTGGTTAGCAATACAGAATCCCCCAGAATGACCGAAAGCTCGCGGACAGGGAGCAGGGCTCCTGGGCCAAGGGGTCACCAGGAACTACCACATGGCCACTAGGGAGAGCGAAAAGACACAATGGACGGCCAAAGGAAACGTGCAGTGCAGAGGCTCCCTCAGCCCTGGAGGGGAGGAGCCGTGTGGGGAAGCCACCAGGCGGTCAGGCGTGATGACGCAGGCAGGCGGAGATGGACAAGGCCAGGGACCTGCTACTGTGAGAAGGTTCTAGTGGTGCAGTTACCAAGGCGGGCACTGGAGGGCAGTGAGTTGGACCCATGGGAAGCTCTCATCTCAGAATAGTCGCTGCAGGCCCTGTGGCTCAGATCCAGGCTCAGGCGTCCCTGGTGCTGGACACTGCGAGAGAACCAAACAGGTGAGGGGCCAGGACCGGACACAGCCCCTGGGGAGAAACACAAGTGGCAGGCCTGGGCAAGGCCTCCCTTCCTCAGCCAGCAGAAGGGAGGCCCTAAAGCCACTGGCTGTCAGCTGAGGGCAGCAGCCTGCCCGCAGCCATGCCCAGAGTGGGCACCCATGAGGGCCCTGCATGTGGTAGAAGGGGCCAAACGGAGCAGGAGCAGCCCATTCACTCAGCCTCAGCTGTGTCGCGCTCACTGGACGTAGGGTTTCTACAGGGAAAACAGAGGCTCTGAGTCCTGGGTGGGCCAGGGAGAGGAAGCCTCTCTTGGGGGGTGAGTGGGGAGAGGCTAGATGGAGAGAGGACCTTGGAGAGGGAACCATGAGCCTCACTCAGGAGAATGTGCCTAGAAGCTAGAGGGCAGAGGGCCAGGCATCATCCGCTCAGCTGGCCTGCTGTCAGGCCCAAAGACATCCTTTACTAATGGCACGAGACTCCCTCTCTTCCCTGCCTGCAACCCTCTGGTGGTCTCTCCTGCACTCAGAATAAAACTCAAACTCTCTATTACCCCTGCAGACCTGCAGGATGGGTGCCCCATGGTCTGGGCTCACCTCCTGACTCACCGTACCTTTGTCAAGCTCCCCCTCTCTGTCCTAAGAGCCCATCACACTGCAGTCAGGTGCCTGAGCTGGAGCACACACAGCCCTCCTCCCTGGGGACTCTGCCCCAGGTCTTCTGCAGCTGGCCTCTTCTCAGCCTTTTGATCACAGCAGCACCCGCACCAGGGGGCCTCCCGACCATCCAATCTAACTCTACCCCCTCTTCCAAGTCAGCCTGGCTCATCACCTTGGTTCATGGTTTTCAGAGCTACTTGGCACCATCTGGTATCACTCTGGTCACATTTTTCTGCCTGCCTCCCACACCTGAACACAAACACCACATAAGAAGAAACTTGTCTATTGAGTTCTCCATCGTATCCCCCGGGAGCTAGAACAGTCCATGGCACGTAGTAGGTGTTCAATAAAACTTGTCAAATAATTGAATGAATGAATGAATGAAAGTGAGTACTTTTTAAGGTTCAGTTTCCTTAGCGATATAAAACAGAGACAACAGTCCTTAGCACCTAGGGTTGCTGTGGCAATTAAATGAGATATTTATAAAGGTCTGAGCACAGCGCCTGGCACGTGAGCAACGAAGCATTTGGCTACCATCACTATCATCTTTCCTTAACTACCTTTTCAAGCTTCATATTAATGAACCAAGAGAGCATCCTTGACGTTCACTTTCCCTGGGGTCTCAGAGCTGCTGAAACCAGCCCCTTCCCAGCTACGCAAGGAAGCCTCTCTGTCCATGAGCCTCTTGAAGCACCGGTGGCTTTATGGCCAGGTAGGCTTGGATGGCTAGGGTGCAGGGAGGTGTGGGGTGACTTCACATACCTGGGATGCAAAACCTGGGGGCCGATCTCTCTGGGGACGGGTGGAGAGCTGCAAGGGCCAACCCTGTGGCTACGCACAGTGTAGATGGGGTTCCTCAGGATGGAGCTCACAGTGGTGCTCGGGGTCATACTCCGGGGAACGGTGCCTAGAAATGGGCTGGGTGAGAACCAGCTTCCCAAAGCACCCAGCCAGCCCCAGACCTGTGCAAGCCTCTGGCCTTTCTCCATCTGTAAAATGGGAGAGTTCTCTTTGATGCTTCCTATTTCCCAGGCCACTATGGGGAGAAAGCACTTTGCAAACCTAAGAAATGTCACTGACAAAAAACTAAATGTCACTCCAGACAGGGAAGCAGCAATTGCTAGCTCTTTGGACTTCTGGGCTAAGGACACACAGCTGCTCCTTAAAATGACGGCCTCCACTGTCCCAGGAACTGGGCGGTCCTGTGGGTCTACAAAGACCCTCCTCCTCCCAGCCCTGCCCAGCTGACTCACCCACAGATGCCTTGCTGGGGTAGAGTGGGGGATTGCTGTGCCGGCTGGAGTGCCCTGGCGAGTAAGGGGACCACTCCTGGAACTCTGGGGAGACTTCTCCACTGGCTGAGATGCACTTCTGCTCCTGTAGAACCAAAGCAAGAGGGGGTGGCTGGACACAGGGAAACCCATAGGTGTTTGCAAGCAATTATGTTTCTTATGCACTAGCTCCTCCCACTTGGACACGAAGTGATGGTCGGGGAGATGTCATTGCTCACTTGAATTGCCTTACACACCCGGAAGGGAAGAACTTCCTAAAAAATACTCTGGAAGAAAGCCACAGAGGAAGGTTCTGTTCTTTCAAATACGCAGAGGTTGTATGTGTGTGTAGAAGGTGGACCAAGTGTGCATCAGAGCTGTGTGAAGCTGCCTGCAGAGCAGCATGGATTTGTTCTCCTGCTCACAGCAACCTCTCCCTTCTGTAAATGACTACAGCACCCACAATGACAAGCCAGCCTGTCCTGCAGCTGCCTGACAGATTCACGAGTTTGATCTTCTCTCCTCAAACCCCTCAAGGCAGGTCCATGTCACCTGGTTTTGTTGTGCAGTTTCAAAAGCTTCTCGTTGAATAAGCAACTTAAATGCTACGCCCAAGAATGTGCTTCTCTCTTGGTGTCACATCCCCAGTAATGTGCACATCCCACATTACGCTCCAATCTCCAAAGGAGGGCTGCTTCCCACTGGCATCCACCTGCCACCCCTCCCCCTCCCTCGGGTAGATGCTCAGAGCAAAGGAGCCAGGGCCAGGCACAAGCCTGGCGACACCGATGCAGGCACTGGGGTGCTCTCACGCCAACTACCCCTTCCCACGTCCACCCCCACTCCCACCCCCACCCCAACGTTGCCTCTACCTCCAGGAACTGAGCAGGAATCACCACTGGTGCGAGCTTTGGCCGGAAGCTGGGGGCAGACTTTGGGCGGCGACGCTTCTGGCCCAGTTCGTCCATCTTCTGGGACGTGAGGTCCTCATCACACGACTTCTTGGCAGGCAGGTAGGAGGAGTCTCCATCCGCTTCAGGGTAGTAGCTGGAAGCAATGCGGACCCTGGCCTTGCGAGGAGGTGAGGCGTGCATGGGTTCCCCAGGGTCCACGTCGGGGGGCAGGGCACTCGGGGGGCTGGTGGATGGGGAGCTGCCCACCAGAGTGGCCTCTGACTCAGAGCTGGTTTCTAGCCTGTGCTGGAACTTAATGGAGTCACTCCTCCTGGGAGGTTTTGGGGGCGTCAGCGGGCCCACCCTCTTGGAGGGCTGGGGGGAATGAGCAGGCCCAGGGCCTGGGAGCAGGTAGTCTATTTTGGGTGGCGTCTGGGGGCGTTTGAACGTGTTAGGGTCAAAGATGGACTTTCTTTGCTTTGGCTTCTTGTAAACAGAGAGCTTCTCGGGCCCTGCCGTGGAGCTAAGCACGGCCTTGGGCCAGGTCCCGCCGCTGTTGGGGCTCTCGGGCTCGGCCTTACCCAGGGGAGCCTCGGTCGCCCCGCAGGAACCAGCCTCAGTCTCGAAGGGCAGCAGTGGCCGCCGGCTCCGCGAATCCGCCAGCCCATAGCCACGCTCCCCAGAGGCATCTGAGCGGAAGGAGCTCAGGCTACGCTCGGAGGCGCTGGGACACGTCTGGGGGGAGGCTGGGAAGGGTCCCCCAGGGAACGGCTTGTGCAGGAAGGAGCTGCTGCCTCCTGGGGGGCCCGGCTCCTTCCTGTCCTCCAGCCTGTCCGTGTAGAAGATGTCCGTCTGCGTGGAGTTATTGTGCTGCATCAAGTTCCGTTTGTTCTGAGCCTGGACCTCTGGGCCGTGGGCTCGGAAACTCAACATCTTATCAGAGTCCTTGATGTTCTCAAAGATGTTCTGGCCACTCCATGAGGAGCTCTGAGGAAACACCTACATAGGAACCGCAGGAGTGAGAAAGAAAGCAAAGACCACAGAACCTGGCGCTGCCACTGACAATGCCCCTGCAGGCAGAGCAATGGTCAGGAACGGGCCACACACACCCCAGAGAGCAGGCAGACACACACACACACACATACAGGCATGCAAACACACACATATGCATGCACACGCATGTACACATCTCCCTGACGGGGGGCTTTCCCATGCCCTGGTCACTGTGAACCCGCTGGAGAGCCCTAAGTGCTCTTGACCTTGAGTACTTTCTGAAATCACCTGGATAATGTCCTGCATACTTTTTAAGTTATTAAATAAAAAAAGATTCATCACTTAAAATACATATCTTATGGTATTCACATAATGGAATATCATTCAGTAATAAAAAGAAATGAGCTATGCCCAGCCGGGCGTGGCTCAGCGGTTGAGCATCGGCCTAGGATCCAGGAGATCGGGGTTTGATTCCCGGTCAGGGCACATGCCTGGGTTGCAGGCTCGATCCGCAGTTGGGGGTATGCAGGAGGCAGCCGATCAATGACGATTCTCTCATCATTGATGTTTCTATCTCTATCTTCCTTNCGGGGTTTGATTCCCGGTCAGGGCACATGCCTGGGTTGCAGGCTCGATCCGCAGTTGGGGGTATGCAGGAGGCAGCCGATCAATGACGATTCTCTCATCATTGATGTTTCTATCTCTATCTTCCTTTCCTTTCCTCTCTCTAAAATCAATAAAGATATATTTAAAAAAAGAAAAAAAGAAATGAGCTATCAAGACATGAAAAGACATGGGGAAACTAAATGCACATTAGTAAATGAAAGAAGCCAATCTGAGAAGGCTGCGTACTGTACGATTCCAACTCTACGATATTCTAGGAAAGAGAAAACTAGAAACAGTGAAAAGATCAATGGTTTCCAGGGATGGTGTGAGAGAGAAAGGGGTGAATGGGGAAGCACAGAGGATTTTCATTACAGTGAAACTGTGCTGTATGATACTGTATCAGCAAGAACACATCATTGCACATTTGTCCAAACCCATAGAATGTACAACACCAAGAGAAAATCCTCATGTAAACTGTGGGCTTTAGTTAATACTAATGTGTTAACATCATGACAAATGAACCCCACTAATGCAAGATGTTAGTAGCAGGGGAAGCAGAGGGGGGAGGGGAGATATGAAAATTCTCGACACTGGCTCAACTCTTCTGTAAACCTAAAACTGTTCCCGAAAAGGCTATTAATTTTAAAAGAATTAATTTTAAAAAACTTGCTTAATGAAGTGGATAGGCCTATTTTTTCCAACTTTCTATTATCAGTCTTTTCAATTATGTAGAAAAGCTGATAGAAAAGTACAAGTAAATACCTATAAACCCACCATTTAGGTTTAACAATGTTTTAAAAATTGCCTACATGTGTCAATCTTGCAGAACATTTTAAAGTTTTAAGTACAACATTTCACCCCTAACAACTGTATCACGTATTCCCCCAAATGAGGCCACTCTCCTATGTAACCTCAATACTGTCATTATACCCAGGAATATTAGCAATTCCCTAAAATGAACTAATTATTCAATCCAGATTCAAAAGCACCGCACTATCCCCAAAATGTCTCCATAGCTGTTTTTTGTTTTTAAACCAGATTCCGGTCAGGGTTCACGCACACCTGGCACCTGTAAATTAGGACCCTTTTCCAAGGGTCCCAGTGACACGAGAAGAGGGTCAGGCACACGGAGCTGGGGCTTCGCTGCCCCAGACAGCAAGCACAGGGAAGGGACGGGCAGGACCCTTACCTTCAGGAGGGAGAGCGTCAGGGAGTCCTGGCAGCTACGCAGCAGAGACTCACACTCATTCAGAGACTTGTTGTCCAGTGCAATGCCATTGATCTAGGGCCAAACAGAGACCTTGTCAGGCCGGCCGCCAAGACCAGGGCTCTGCCCACCTGCCAGCCCAAGTTGGACCGTGGGACTGGCTCTGTAAGGTCCCCAAGTCTGAAGCTGGCAAAGGAGAGAAAGACCCTCCCCAGTAAGGCCTCTGCAATTCAGTTAAAGGGCTTCTGAGGAGCATGCAACACACAGCCATAAAATCACCACATAGAAGGGAGCATATCTGACTGGGACCAGGCCACCATGGCATCCAGGGAAACTGGGGGGACAGCAGGCTCTGCTTCCTGCTGTGTGATGCTGGACCTGGATTCAGACTCCTTCATGCCTAAATGGAAGATAAACTGTGTGCCCCCAGGGGCGGGAGGAGACTGAAAAACATGGCCATGGAGTGAAAGGCCTTTGTAAACGAAAAAGTACCACATGAGCTGAGTATCGTCACGGTTCACTAAGACACATCACAACCGCTTACGCTTGAATTTCTGCCCACACCTCTCTCGGACGTGCCCAGTCTTTGAAAAAGCGTATGTGCGGTAGGTGACCGGTTAGACCAGGCTGCACCCATACCACGGAACACACAGCCAGCAGCGAGAAGGAACACGCGCCCTGCTGAGCAGGACAGCGGACCTGAAAAGGTCACACATTGTACGATTCTACTTATCTGCCATTATAGAGATGGAGAGCAAATTAGTTGCCAGGGGTTCTGAATGGGGGAGCAGGGTGTGGGTGTCCCTATAGGGGGTAACACAGGTAACATGAGGGAGACTGTGGCGGTGGAACAGTTCTGTGTCTTCATTTTTTTTTTTTTTGGTTACCTAAACATGATAAAATGACACAGAACTAAACACATACACTGTATCAATGTCAACTGCCTGGTTTTAATATTATAGTTATGTAAGATGTAACCATTAGGGGAAACTGGGTAAAGGGTATAGAGAACCTCCCTATACTATCTTTGCAACTTTATCTATTTTTAGTGTAATTTACTGAATTATAATTACTTATGTAATTATTTCAAGGTGAAAAGTTTAAAATATATATGCAGAAGAATTATATTGGAGTAGTGGATTAATTCGGTTGTTTTTTCCTTTATTACTTTCCCACATCTTGAGATTTTTCACAATGGCAATGCTGCTTTTAAAGTCTGGTGCTCCCAAAATCTGAAAAGCAGTGGCAAAGATGTGAAGCAAAGAGCTCCCCACACACTGCAGGTGGGACTGAAAAGGCCATGACCTGCTGGGGACACAGGGGAAGGTCATATCAAATGTTAGATGCTTATCTGATCTAGCACTTCCCCCGCCCCAGGAATAATTCCCCCGTGGCACACTCTCATGGGTCCCTGTGGGTCCCGTGGAGGGATGCGGCAGTGGCCACGCAGCACGGCTTGTAAAGGCAAGGATGCCCTGAGTATCTGTCGGGGGGACTGGCTAACAGCTGTGCTGCTACCACTAAGGAACATGCAGTTACTGAACCGACCCAGACACGCCTAGGAAGAACCGCGGGGCATGCGTTTAAAGCAAAAACAAGGCTAGCAGCTAAGTCTATCATCCCATCTGTGTGTGCTTTTTAAGCAGGAGATATCCACATTTTGAACATTTCTGGAAGAAAACACAGTAAGTTAACAGCGGTTGCCATCAGGGTGGAACTAATTGATGGGCACCCAGACTGGAGAGGAGTTACCGCTGCTGTGCCTGTTGCAGGACTGGAATTTGGGGTGTGTGTCATGAACAAGCATATGCTTTCAATGTTAAAAAGTTATTTACAAGGACTAAATGTGATGCCCTCCGACTCAGCAGTCTCACAGCACGGCGGGTTGGTCACCAGGGATGCTGCTAAGTATCCCCACAGCGGCTGCTGCACACAGGTGACGTTTATGGCAGGGCTGTTTGCAACTGCAGAACTGAAAACAACTCGTATGTCCATCAATCAAAGAACAACGTAAACTATAGATAATCAAACAGCAGAACACCGGGAGGCGGACAAAAACAATAAAGATCGACTTGGAAGGGTACCCACAATGTAGAATGCAAACTGCAGGATAACAGAAGATGATTCCACTACTGTATTTTGGAAAGCAAACAAAACCCAGAACCCCTATCCGTGTACACAGATTTGTACGCGCACCTAAGGTCCAGCCGGGAGCACATCTTCCAAATAAATGGGGAGAGATCACCTCTAGGAGCAAGATTAAAGGGAAAAGAGGAACTGCCACTTTGTACATTTTGCTATTGCTTGAATTTTACAGCAAACGAGTCTTTGGGAATAAAAAGTAAATTTTAAAAGAAATAGATAAAATATTTGGTAAAAAAGATTTCTTTAAAAAATCACATATAAATACCTATTTTTTTTTAAATTGACCTAACTATACATTCATATATAGAATAAAGATTGTAGGGAAATACAGTAAAAATGTTAACAAAGGTTATCCATAGGTGACAGCAATAAGATGAATTCTTATTTCCTTCTTAAACTTTTTCTGTACTTCCTAATTTTCTACAATAAATAGAAACATACTCTCAGAAGGAAAAAAATCACATTTAAATGTTCACATTTAAAGAAAAAGGCGAATATTAAAAACTGTGTTCATTACGTCTTGTTCACAACTCCCGAATTTGTAACCTGTCTACGTGCAGCGAACAACCCATCCTGCAGACTTACCGCCACGATCCTGTCTCCCACGGCAAGGGACCCCTCCTTGGCGGCCGGGCTCCCAGGCACCACAGCAGCAGCATACACTCCGTTCTCCAGGCTGATGCCGCTGTCTGTGAACCACAGGCGGTCCCCAGTGAACCCTGCCCAGGTCGCAGGGCCCTCTGGTGGCCCCACCTCATCTACGGGAGATACTCTTACAAAGTTGGGAGATTGTGACCTGTCCATCCCAGCACCCACCCGAGCCAGGCCACTCAGGGGCTCAGTCACATCTGGTCTGGTGAATCAGAGACAAGCAGGACCCAGACGGCCCCACACTGGGGAAGCACATGGGCTGCACTGAAGCAGCATCAGCGCCTCAACCCTGGGAATGAAGTGCACCCGAAAACACACCTTTCTGTCCGCTCAGGTTGATGTGCAGCGGAGTGACCACCTTCCCGCCCAGGGACTTCCTGCGCCGCACGACCATGTTGATGGCGCCCTCCCCGTTGAGGAGCGCCCTGATGGCCTGCTTCTTGTCCTTATTGATGAGGTCCACGTCGTTGATCCTCAGCAGCCAGTCATTGACCCTGAGGAAGACAAGGCCGGCTCGGCGTCAACATAGGCCTCAGGGGGAGCACCAGCTCTTCCCATCCGGGAAGCCAAGTGCCAGAAAGCAGGTGCCCCACATACACATTCAGAAAGATTTCCCCTTCCAGGGCAGTCAAATGGTTAAACTCACAGGTGCTGGAGCTACACTGCCTGGTTCAAATCCTGGCTCTACCACTCACTAGCTGAATGACCTAACCCCTCAGAGCCTCAGTGTCCTCATCTGTAAAACGGGGCAGCACCTACCTCATAGGATTATGAAGATTAATGAATTAATTATAAAAGTACTTAAACCAGTACTGAGCATATAGTAAGCGCTATTTTCTCATCATTGGTATTTCATGGAATGAGCATACAATAGACATTCTATGCTCTCACACATAGCCTGAGCCCCTTTCTACCCAGAGACATGAAAGGGGGCACCTGGTGACTGGAGAAAGGTCAGGTTCACAGGCAACTGCGAGTTAGAAAGTGTCCTTTTTTTTTTTTTTAATTGATTTGAGAGAGAGAGACAAAGAAGAGAGAGAGAAACACTGATGAGAGACAACCATCGATGGCTGCCTCCTGCACGCTCCCTGTTGGGGATCGAGCCCACAGGGCATGTACCCTGACTGGAATCTAACCGGTAACCTCTCAGTGCATGGCTTGATGCTCAGCCAACTGAGCCACACTGAGCTGCAGGCCTCAGACAGACTGAATCCCTCAGTCCCAGGGATGCATTCATTTAACTACCACCTGGCTCTCCAGGGCCTTTCATTGGGTCAGAGGGCCCCACCTTCCCTCAGAACCTGGGTTTCCTCAACTCTTACCGTAAGCGGCCGTCTGCAATGCTTCCTTTGTCCACCTTAGTGACAAATATGCCGCAGTCCCCGGGCAAACAAGGCTCATTCACACCTTCTGCCATATCGAACCCCAGTGCCTTCAAATCAATGTCCTGTCAAAACAGCAGCAGCAGCAGCCACTTTACAAAGCAGTGATGAGAAACATGGGCTCTTAAACCCCAAGCCACTCGCTCTAATGTGGGACTGTCCCTTCACTGTGACTGACAGGGCACGTAGTCCCCAAGATGCAGCCTATGAGCAGCTATAACCTGCCTCTCTCAGCCACTGCAGACACACGTCCCCACCAGCATCACCCCTGGGGACTCTGCTCTTCCCTCTTCATTCCATGTGCTGCGCCAGCATCTACCACACAACACAGAAAACCAACCTGCTGGAACCCAGCTTGAACAAGTGCAGGGAAAGGAGGCATTTGCATCCTGGGAGGAAAAGCCGAACCTCCAAACTAGCAACTGTGACACTGGGGGACACTGGAAGAGGGTCCTTCCCTTTCTCCCTCATCCAAAGTCTTCATGTCAGCAAAATGGGAGAAAAGACATGAAGAAAGCTCACCGTCTCCCTTTCAAACTCTACAACTTCCGTTTCCCACTCCATGGAATCGGTGTCGATGGCTGAGTCATGGGAGCTGTGGGCCATCAGCTGCCGGAACCGGGCCTCCTTTTCCAGCTGGGATTCCATCTGCTCCCTGCGAAGAGAGGGAGCCGTGGCCAGGGCCCTGTGAGGCGAAACACCCCACCCAAGTCACAGCTGGAAACCAGGTGGACCCCTCATGAAAGTTCAATGGGGCTGTCACCTCATACTTCATGCCAGCTTCCCAATAAATCTGAAGTATCAGGTCCAGTTTGCTTGGATATCAGGGGGGTTTTATACTGTTTGGGTTTTTTTCTTAAAAGACTCAGAAATTCTCACATTTATCTAGAGGTTTAATGCAATTCCTACGAAAATGCCAGCAAGAGATTTTCATAGATACAGACAAGAATATTCTAAAATTTATAGGGGAAGGCGAAGAAAGCAGAGCAGCTACACCAATTTCGAAAATGAAGAATTAGGTGGGAGAAACCACTCTACTCGATTTTAAGATTTTTTATACAACTACAGTACTCCAGACTGAGCGGCACTGCCAGGAAGGTAGACACACAGATGAATGAAACAGATGAAAGGATCCAGAAATAGCCCTGCAAAGGACAAAAGGTGCAGAAGTAACTGAATGGAGGAAGGATAGTCTTCAAATAATGATGGTGCAGCTGGACATCATGGCAAAAAAGGGAATCTCAACCTGAACACCACACCTTACATAAAAATTAACTCAAAATGCACCACAGATTTAAATGTAAAAAATAAACTATAAAACTTTCAGAAGGAAAATACAGGAGGAAAGTCTTTGTGATCTAGGGCGAGGTTAAGGGTTCTCATACATAACAGAACCCATTCAAAATAAAAAAATAAAAAGTCAATAAACTGGACTTGATCAAAATGAAAACTTAAGCTCTCAGAAAGACACAGGTAAGAGGATGGAAAAACAATCAGCCCTTGCCCCATCCCCCAGTCACTTGCACATAATGCTCTTCCTTCCTAAAACCTAGGCCCGGACCACCTTCCCAACTCATCAGCCCTGCCCACTGGGCTCCTGGCACACTGGTGACTGACTTGTTTTCCGCCCAAGTGCACAGCTCCCAGGTCCACACTTTCGGCTGAGCTGGGCCCTCACTGGCCAGCTCTAGAATGCTACTCAGCTTCCTGGGCACCGCCTGGAGCCCAGCCCACCCCTGCGCAGCCTGAAGCTCTGCATTTACTGCTGACTGCACCGGTCTCCCCCTCCCAGTGGGCACCTCTGCTGCTCCTGCAGACTGGGGGCTTCCTGTGCAGCAGCGTGGACTCCATCACCAGCACCCCTGGGAGAGAGAACTCAGCAGAAAGGAGATGCAAATACAAATGTGCTGAACAAACCAAGGAACCTGACTTCCTTAGGTGGTCCAGGCAACTCCAGCACAATTAAAATGGAAACTTCCTCCCATGCTGAAGCCTCAGGGGGTCTAGGCTGTACCTCAATTTGATTCCATCACTTGAGAGACTATCACTTTGCCTCAACCTCTGAGATTTTCTTTAGAGCATTCAAGCCCCAGAGGTTCTAGGTTTTTACCTAATAAATGAAGGGGCTTGTCTGATGTTAGGTGTTACTGAGTGGGAGGGGAAGCTGCACTCCCTTCTGAAGGGCGTAGCTCAAGTGAGCAAAGCTTGTACACTGGCACCCACGCGCCTCGCACCATCCTTCCCCACTCCATCCATCCCATGGGAAGTTCCTGGAATGGACAGAGAGCCACTCTTCTCAACTAGAATCTGGTTCTGGGCTACTGGGCTCTGCCGATTTCTCTTTTTAAACTTTGATCTCTGCATTTTCAATCTGCTGCTTATAGTCACAGGTTTTAGATGATACCCCTGGGAACACTGTTGTCACTGAAGGGGGTTGTCTGACATCCCAAACAGTCTCTCCCAGATGGGCATCCAAATAACACAGTAGGACAGACTGCTGAGTGGTGGTCACAATCACCTGCAAAACCACCACAATCTGTCATCACTTTGTTCCTTTACGTACTTATCTCTCTGATGGACCTGCCTGTGGTCTGTCTCCTTCTGTGTGCTGTGTCCCCCACAGGGCAGGGACCTGGTTGGACTGCTCAGCCATCTCCCCTGTGCCTCCCACAGGCCTGACCCACAGAGAGTAGGCATGTAGTAAATCCTTATTGAGTTGATGAATGAATAAGGGAGGGAGGGAATGAATGAATGAACAATGCATGTTTGTCTGTCCCCAAATGGACTGCCAGGGAGCAGGGATGTTCCTTCCTATATGCCTCTGCACATGGTACACACTTCCATGTGCTCAGCAAAGGGCCACTGTCATCTTCTCTGCTGGTCTTTGAATTTCTAATTAGCTCTCCGTGTGGAGCCAGCATTTGGACCCATTCTACAGATTGACATAATAAGGCAGAGAGAAGGGATAGATGGCCAGGCCTTGCACTTCGCTACCTTGTACAAGAGCAGCCCAGGCAGGCGCCCACCCCAGCATACTTGAGCTCCTTGAGCTCCCGGCTGACGTCATTCTTCTGTTTGCGAGTGTCATCCAGGCTGCGCAGGGCCTCGGCCAGCTCGGTCACTGCCCTGTCCCGCTCCCGCCTCAGGTTGTCACACAGAGTCCTGGTAGAGGGGGTACAATGCAAGGTCACCATGAGGGGTGAGGGACAGAGGACTCGCGGCCTGCAGTAGACACCCCAGGTGCCTTTCCTTGTCCCCAGATGCACAGGAATGTTTGAGAGTTTGTAGGCAAGGCCATCAAGGCCATCCCCACTGAGGGACAGAGGTTATGCTGAGGACCCAGGTGAAGAGATCCCTTCCCCAGTTACTGGGAAACAAACACTGAGTTCCAAATGTCCAGTGCTCATCCCACTGCTTCACCCTATAGTGCCTGGGGTTAAACAGCACCTCCCACTGAAGCCCACCCAGCAGGCCCTGTGCTCCAGTCATGACCAAGTACCTCATGACTACCCACAAGCAGGCCTTTCACAATCAGGCTGAGCCCCAACCCAGACAGGAATCGTGCCTCACGCATCTCTATGGCCCTGAGCTCTGCACAGGCGCAAGTGCAGGCTGGACAACTCTCTGCTAAAGGAATGTGGCTTCCGGGACCTCAGCCCCTAAGAGAGGAGGTGGGACAGGTGGCCTGGCAGAAGGAAGTCTGTGCTCTGTGCCACCTCCAGGACTGCACCCTGTCACAGGATAGACCAAGAACTGGTGTCCCCTCTCCATGGCCCCAAATCCCCCCACCTGAACCCTCACCTCCTGACCAGCCTGTGTGGACATTAATCTCTCCTTCAAAGGGACCTTTCAGAAACTCTCAATGACCAAGTCCCTGCTCACTGCCAACATCCCCACCACCACGTCCACTCCTGGCTCTACCTCAACCAAGAATCCAGTCTACATTCCCAGGTTTCCCTTTAAGGCCCTTACAACTGCCCTCAGGAGTGCTGTCAGCTGCCTCTTCTGAGACTCTCCAAGTGCAAGACCTACTCCAGTCACACCCATGTCCCTGCCCTGCACCCACATGACACCTTTGCTCATGATGTTCATTCAGGCTGCAATGCCCTTCCCTCCTCCACCTGGGAAAATCCCACTCATGCTTATGTTCTAGCTCAAATGCCATGCTTTCTGGGGAGACCGCCCCATCTGTTTCCCATGCCCAGTGCCCTGCATGCCCCCATCACAGCTCTGGATGAGGACCTGGAATTCCCTGTTCACCCATCTTCCTTCCTCTCTGTCCTGGCTGATAAAGCTGCCTGCAGCCCCCACAGGGCCGGCCCCTCACAGGCATCACACTACCTGGGAGCCTTGGAGCCATCTCCCAGGGTCTCCTTGCTCAAGGGACTTAAGATCCTGGCACACAGTAGGTGCCCAGTGAATGCTGACTGAGAGAATACAGCTTTGATTGTCAGTTTCATCAGAAGCTCCCTAAGAAAAGAGCCTGGTCTTGGGCCACTTTGCAAGATCCGAGTGCACACTCGGATGCAGGGTGAAGTGCAATGGACATGGACACGTGAAATTCTAACGCTCTGAGGCGAGGTGGGGCATCGCCCAGGGTGGGAAGGGAAGAATCTAGTCACCTCACCTGGAAGCATGGCAAATGACTGCAGCCCTCCCCACAGACCCAGTGTGTCAGGGGGAGACCGGAGCCCACGCTGGCCAGGGGCACCGTACCGGATGCTGTCCCGTTCCGCCACAATCTTGTCCCGCTCCTGGAAGGCCCAGTCCCGCCGGCACTTGGCCACATCTGCCTCCTGGAGGGCTTCCTTCAGCTCCTGGCACAGAGCCTTGCACTGCTTTCGAAGAATCTCAGCCTCCTTGTTGGCTCTCCCAGCATCGATCGTCACCGTGTCTTTGATCTGGTGGGGACAAGAGGCAAGAAGAGGAGTTGTTACTGGGCCTTCTGGCTCAGAAGTACCACCTGACAGGTGCAGTGGCTGGGGCTGAACTCTTGGGGTCTGGATGGAGGGGAACACTGGGATCCCAGCCAGAGTCCATCCCCAAAACCCCTGCTGCACCTGTACCCCAATAACCACACACCCCAACATCCCCTGCTGCTCCTGTACCCCAATGGCCACATGCCCCACAGCCACACTCAGACCCCTAGTGACATTAGGTTAAGGTCCAGTCCAAACTCTCACAACCCACACAGCACCTGGACTAGAGCCCCTCTCAGCCAAGATCTCAGTGACCCAGGTGGACCGTCTCCCCTGGAGGGCCTGTTCCAGGCTCCACCCTGCCACTTATGACGTTTGTATCTTACAGAGCCCCCATGCCTCTCTCAAGTGCTCCCGTGACAAAACATAAGGATGCAAGGCCCAACTGGAGTGAAGGTACAGACACTGGTCCCGATAATCCCCCACTCTGTGTCTGCAACACTGGTTTCTCGGCTCTGCTTTCTTTATCTAGCATACAGAGTTATTTTTAAATCTGGAGATGCAACAGTATTTTCCTGGTGAAGCCCTGTGCATCTCAGTTTGTTTAGAAAGCTGTCATCTGAAGCATCCGCATCTTGACGCCTCCCCAGAGCATTACGTGCTCCATTAAAATTTCAAAGCAAGCTCTTAGGAGCGCTCATGTAGAAAGCTCCCTCTGTGCCCCTATGCTCCTTAGGAAACACAGGGAAATGACAAAGCAAGTGCTTACTGCAAGAGTAACTCCTACCCCAGCTCAAAGGCTTCCTGAAGAAGCAAAATACACACAAGAAAGGAGAACAGGTCCCTTCTGTGCTGGGAATCTCCACCTGAGTAACAAGCACAGGGAAGACCAGCACACCCAGGCGGCTTCCCCCAGCTCCCCAGCGGACAGCAGCCTGCCTCTGCCGACGCGCACTCAGGAAGACCTCACGAGTTCAGCCAAGAGACAAGCAAGAGGGAGAGACGAAAACGTGTGCAGTCAGCTTATACCTCCCCCTCATCTCTCACATACAGTCAGGAGGAGCTGGGGGGAAATCTGCACAAAAATAGTACCTTAACTCTAGGGAGTGACAGTGTCACGCTCTGCTGAGAGTTTACATTTCCCAAGATCAAGTCCAATTACTTCAGGTTTAAGTTTTCCCACTTTTATGCAGTGTTGATTGTTCAGTTTGATCTTTTTATAAACAATTATTATTAATTCTAGCAAGAATTTGTTATAATAAAAATTTACTTAACAATAACATTTTCTTAAATCTACATTCTATTCTGTGTTTTATATTAACATTGTTTCCTATTTAAAACATGTTAACATGTGGTTTCAATGAAAGGTCTTTCCATCTGGCCCTGGATAACCATCTCGTGCTGAAGGCCAGAGGTGGAGACAGAGAGAGACCAACACCAGGGAATCAGGGAGCTCCTACCTTCTGCCCCCATCTCCCCTTCCTTCCACTGGGCCATCACTGTTAGTCTCCAAAATAGAAACACCCCCAAAACATTGCTCCTTATGAGAAACACTGGAAGCATGATAGTCAGTCTTATTTAGAGGGGAGAGGAGGAACAAGGCATCTTTAAAAAGGAGTAGAATTGGGGAGCTGGGGTCCCTTTGTCCAAGCCCCCGATTACACTGATGAGGAAGCTCAGGGTCCAGGAGGTGACTGCCCCCAAGGTCCCACCCCGGGGAGCGAGCCCAGGTCCAGGTCTCAAAGAATCTTGCTCCTGTGCTCCCTCCTCCACACCATGCAGATCTCAGTCTGCAAAGCGCCACCCGTGATCTCCTTCGGCCGCCCTGGGTGACCTTGGACCACACGCTAAGGAACAGATGGGCTGGTTTTCACAGGACACTCACCTGCCTAGACATGTGGCCGGCAAGAAAGGCCCAGGGGCTGCAGGGGCAGAACCCACACCAGCAGGTCTTGAGGTCACGGGAGATTAAGACCCTCCCACCCACACCTTAGGGCCCAAATGTCCCAGGCCACAGACCTGGCCTGGGAGGAATTGGGGGGTGGACAAAGCAGAGGAGCAGCTGAAGGTTTCAGTTCTGGAAGCTGCCCTGGGGGGAGTGGCGGTGGGGGCGGGGGCTCTCCTCTCCAGCCTGCTGGCTGGATCAGTGCCTAGAAGAGATTCCTGCCTCAGCTGACAGGCAGACTTGATGCCCAGCCAATGCCCCCTGCGAAGGCCAGGGAGCCGGGCTCCAAGCTGAAGGGCACGCATGAGTGCAGGCAATGGGGGGACAGGCTGCCACCAGATGCCAGCACCTCGGGAAGTCGGTGGTTCTTCATGCTTCTCGGTGCTTTCCACATTCCCACGAGGGTATGGTTAACCTCACAATTTCCTCCACGTCGGACACTGTTCTATACCAGGCTCACCTCTTATGTGTCTGACACGGCCTGGACTTGCTGGTGTAGTGACTGACTCAGTCATTTTCAAGGTTTTCCTCTTCATCACTGTGTTTTCCCTTTTCAATAACAACACTTTCCCAACCATTAAGCTCTCAGGTGCCAGAGTGTGAAAATGCACTGATGGTTTTTCTAGGACAATTACCAAGTTCTAATACATTATATTTACTTATTAAAAATCCCTTCACCACGGTCTTTTAAAGAGTTCATCAAAGTAAATTCTCCTTTTTACAATGGCTTTCACCTTGACGGTCTGGAAATATCTCACTCCTTTGATACGAAATTGCCATTAGTTGGCCCATTTTTGCCAAAAAAACAAAACAAAAACATTTTCCTAGGGTTCTTGACAGAGTAACCAATAACCATCTTAATAATAAAGGCTCAAATCATTCCTACTTTGCGTGGGCACTGCTCTAAGTGTGCTTTCAATATTAAATCACGTGATCATCACAGCCACCCAGGAGGCAGAAGCTATCCATTATCATTTCCATTTGTCAGATGAGAAAATTGAGGCCCAGAAGGCCAGCTCTCCAAGCACAGGGCCTGAGCCCCTTGCATCCATGGCCCCTAGGACTACCTGGGCATAAGGAGGTGTCACTGTCCACAGAAAGCCTCACAGGGACCCAGAAACTCCTCGGGCATCAGCCCTACTCGTGCTGGGTCCAGGGCTCTGGCTCCCACAATCCAATGCCCGCCACCCCCTGCCAATGTGCCCATCCTTTGGCACCTTGCTTTCCACTTCTCAAAGACCAACTTTAAAGGCTGTGTTCTGATGTGCACAGAAAAGTAGAATGGAGGAGCGTTTCAAAGCGATAAAAGTCTGCTATGGCCAAGTTCAGCAGCTCTGAACAGAGCCGCACAGACCCACAGGATGGGAAGGGCCCCTCAAATCAGGGAGCCGGCAAGGAACATCTGCACTTGGGGGTGAGGGGTGCCAGCGATGAGGCCGAGGGGTCAAGAGGAAAGATGCAAAGCATCCACACTGATTCACCCTCAGGAGTCAAGCTAAGTGGCCTCACTCTGATGCTACTGAACCCCAGGCTCCTGACCCTAGAGCTCTGTCCCCTAGGGAGCAAGGCTATAGAAGGGCCTCTGGCACAGCCTAGTATACCACCTTCTTACCAGGAGCCCGGCTGCCCCTTAAAGAGTAGACCCCTCAGATGCTGGGAGAAAAGAACCCTAGGGTGCTCTTCTGGACTCGCAAGGCCGAAGGTTCCTATGGCTTTGGGAAGTTGGCCTTGGGATCTTGCTTCTTAATGAGCAAATCTCTTAAGATATCTGCCTTCAGCACAAGACTGATCAGCAATTATGTCACCACGGGTTTGAGCGTGAGTGTCTGCGCATGGAGCATGCGCGTCACTGGGCGTGTCACCTTTCTTAGCCACACTGTAAGCTACGGAGGCCCGAGACCATAGCTGGACCTCCCCTTGCATCCCTGGAGCTCGGCTTAGAGCCGGGCCCTGAGCGCAGTAAGCTCGGCAGTTTCCCAGGCAGCTCCCACAGCCCAGCCGGCACACAGGCCTAAGATGAGAAGCCCTTCGCCCCGACTCGGGCAGGCTGCTGGTGGGGCACCGTGCGCACCGAGGTCCTTCCTCTCTCGCTGCTTTCCCAGCCGGAGAGGCCAGCGCCCAGCCACCTACCTGTCGCAGCGCCTCCATCTCCTCGCTGGCTGCCTTCTTCTCCGACGTGCTGCTTTTGAGCTTGGACTCGGCCAGCTCCACTTCGGCCTGTAGCTTGTCCAGCTCGGAGATGACCTGGTCCCGCTCACTCATGATGAGCTTGTACTCGCTGTACACCGCGTCCCGCTCCTCCCTGTACTTCTCCGACTCCTTGGCGGTCCTGGCCTGCGTGGTGCGCAGCTCTGTCAGCTCCGACTGCAGCAGCTCCATCTCCCACTGCAGGTCCTTGTTCTGGGCCGTGGCCTTGCTCAGTTCATGGTGGATCGCCTCGAACCTGGGGGAGAAAGGCAGCCAGGACGTGGGGGGTGGCGGAGACCTGCCCGGTCAGCTCTGCTGTGCTGGACAGTCAAGCATGAAGCTGCAAGTGAGGTCACTCTCCACACCCCCAAGGGAGAAAAGTCACGGAGCACCGGTGCCCCTGGACCTGGAATTTTTCTCAGCCTTTACAAACACCAGAAGTTGAACTGAGGACTCCATGCCCTCTGCTCTGCTAGAAACAACAGGAAAATGCTTCCACAGTCAAGCTATGTTATTTTTTAATGCATGAATCACAGTATATGAAAGATAAAAGTGGCCTTAACAGTCATTTAATCCAAACACCTCATTTTACAAATACAGAAAATAAGGAGATGCAGGTAGCTGGCCCAAAGTCGGCAGGTTAGTGTGAGAGCACAGGTCGGGCCTTCCAAGCCAGGAGGTACCTTCCACACAGGGAGCCTCGAGTAGTACTTCTGAGAGTGTGTTCCTTAGAACACCAATCCTACATGGCACTCCATTAAAAAAAAAAAAAAAAGTATGTCCTCAGATGACTTGTGTTTGCAAAACACTGCGTTCCCCCCTCTTGGACGGTCTAGTGCTCAGTACCACAGTGAAGGCTCTGAGAAGTCCCACACTGCAGACACCTGTCTATGTGCAACCTGGCAATTCCCAAACCATTTTATATCCAGAGAACACTTTTCATATGAAAGCAATGAATGCCCAGGGAACTGGTATTCTGCAGAAACGTACTTTACCAAATATTGTCTGAGGCCAGGGCTCACGTTCCTACAGATTAGATACCTTACTAAAAAAATGAAGTTTTGAGAGAAACAATGCCTAGGACAATTAACTTTGCTATTTACTAGGTGGGTGACAGTGGGGAGAGGCTTGTGGGAGGAACCCTAGGAAATGGGATAGTCGGAGCACACCCAAGTTGTTCAAATGCGAGGAAAAACAACTCCCAAGATGCACTGAGTGTCAAGAAAGTGTTTCCTGGAAAGAAGCACTTTTTGATTGAAAAGGCACAACTGCTGCGCTGTTTTTACTCTCTGGAAGCATCTGGGAGCCTTGCAGACAACCACAGGCCCACAGAGGACAGTGCCCCAAGGCAGAGAAGAGGCGTTTGGCTCCCAGGCCATCCTCCACCCTTGGCTCCTTGGCTCCTACCTCCTCAGGGAGAGGGCACACTGGTGCTGCAGCTGGATGGCCGTGTCCCGCTGCTGCGTCAGCATGTCCGTCTGCTTCAGCAGCCGCTGGTTCTCCTCCTCCAGGTGCTCCAGGCGGCTCAGGTCCGAGTTGTGGATGGCAACCTTCTCGCTGTACCTCTTCCGCAGGGCATCGTAGTCCTTCTTAACCACCTCCAGCTTGTCCATGGCCGTGTCGTACAGCTTGTTGAGAATTTCTGATGACCCGTTGTGCTTCAACACCTGGGGACCAGAGAGTCACACTTACCAGGGGTCTGGGGGGGCAGGAGGAAGGACAGACTGACCACTCACCTCCCTGTGTCCAGGGGTAGAACCGCTGACCAGGGAGGGGAGGCCATGGCCTCTGGCCTTGGGAGTCTCCAGGTCTGACTCTACAGGCCCTGCAGTCACACTGGGTGACTCATTGGTTCATGAACATTTGTTAAGTAGTGTGCTAGAGCGAGTTACCCTAGCAGGCCCAAGACTTCTCTCCTTAGGAAGGCCTGCTTGCAGGTTCACCCTTGGCTGATGCCTGGGAACCTGAATGGCAAATAGTTCCCTACACGGATATAAAACTTTCCCCAAGTGACAAGAGGGGCTCCCAGTGCCTGGATCTGAGCACTCTCTTTCTCCTGGGAGTCTGAAACCTCAGCACATGCCAGGCAGTGGTGCCTAGTGGGCCAACCCCCAGGAAAAGCCCTGGGCTTCCCTAACACCACTTCCTACAGGCTGTCACGATTCAGCACTGGGGGACCTGAGCATGTCCTGTGTCACTCCACACAGAGGGCTTTTGGAACCTGCACCGGGTTTCCTCTGGACTTCGCCCCACACACCTCTTCCCATTCCTGATCTTGCTTTGTGTCCTTTTGCTGAAATAAATTTTAGCCGTGAGTATGACTGATTATACACCGAGACAATCGCCAAACCTGGGGCTGTTGAGGACCCTGGACACAAGCACCTGCATGTTCTAGATGCTGGTGACGCCAGACAGGACACAGACACTGCACTGTGTATGTTTTATCCTTATGGGAGTATATGAACGCACAGATGGACAGAGAAATAGGTAGGCAGAAAGAAAGGAAGAGAGTTACACCAAATAAAATAACTTTGGAATATAAGAGCCATCAAAAAAAATAAATAAAGCAGAATAATGGCTGGAGAGACTCTTGAGCAGCAGAGCAGAAGGTGTGGGAGGGCTGAGGCCTGAGGCGGTCTCTCTAAGAAGGTGACATCTGAGCTTGGATGCAATTGAAGAGGGGTGAGCAAGTACAAAGGCCCTGAGGCAGGAACGACTGGTGTTCTAGGCACAAAGAGAAGGGCAGGACAGAGCCACTGGAGCCCAGTGAACAAGGAGCAGTGGGTTCAAAAAGAGGCTGAGAAGTGGGCCTGGCTTCCAGGCTCACAGCCAAAACTGTATCCTGAGCAAGAGGGGAGCCCTGGGAGAGTTTTAAGCAAGAGAGCAATTACAGGTTCACCTGGGGCACTGTTCTAGAGAATACAAACAGGATGACTCACAAGGTTGCTGGGGGCCTGCAGACCTCTGCTGAGCCTCTGCTGAGCACGCAGAGGAAGGCGCCTTCTGGCAGGTCACTCCACTTCTCCAGCTTTCGGTTTCCTTGCTCCTCAAATGACAGGACTGAACCAGAAAAGCTTGCTTAACCGTGCAAGCTCCGACAGTCCAGGAATCACCTGGCCTGGGCGGCGTGGACCCTGAGTTATCCCCAGATCTCTGCAGCTAGAGAACCAGAGCCTGGAACCACAGAGCACACTCATGCCTCCTTCTACTGCGCCTCGCTTAGTTCCTCTTCACAGGTGTTGTGTTTTCTTACAAACTGAAGGCAAGACCCCTACCAGCAAAGGGATTACAGGTCACTGGACAGCGGTGGTCTGGAAAAGAACCTGCAGTATCTCCCAGCTATGCCTACTCCGGGCGTGGGGAGGGTTAGCCCCATACGAGCAGCATGGAAGGCCCGGGAAGCGCTGACGAGCAACGAGAATCCCAGAGACAAGGGCCTAAGCATCAGCTCCAAGGACTACAGACTGATGCGAAGGAAGGGAACCTCAGACATCAGCTTGTTCGGGGCTTTTAGTGTTTTGCTTTTTTTAAAAAAAGGAAAAACTTTTTCTTCAAAGGAAATCTTACAAGGACACCAAAATCTGAAACTCCTCCAGCAGAGAGGTTCCCTGGGCAGTTAAACTCTCCACTGCTCTGTACAAATGCCTCACTGCTGCACACAGGACCCACGCTGAGAAATGGCAGAAAAAAGACTGAGCCCCACTCTACCAGTTGGTCTTTGAAAAGCAAACACACAAACAAAAAAACCCCACTATCTCCCGAACATACAGAAAAGCGCAGCAAATAAAGTAACAAAATTTTAAGTACCCAACACTTAGCTCTAATCTCAACATCTTGTCCTATGTGTTAAATTGTTTTTCAAAGAAACACAATATTACTGGTGCTGCTAAAGGCCCCATGCACCCTGCTTATCCCATTCCCTCTCCTCCCCTCAGAATGAATCTCCCCGAAGCTTGCAGTCAACCACCTCCACGCACAGTGTGTTATGATTTTCTAATGGTATCGTACGTGTGCTTCCTTTAATGCTGCCTTTGAGATTTAGGCAGGTCTTGCAGGCAGCATTTCACTACATGAACACATCACACACCCTCCTTCTGTCTGATGAACATTTACATTGTCTCCATTGGGAGTGTTTTTTGGGGGGATGTTATATGTGATAACGCCATGAACACTGCTGTGCACGTCTCCTCTCCCACACCTGTGAGATTTCTCCCTAGAAGTAGAGCGGCCAAGTGTGGGGATATGGACTTTTTCACACTTTCTGGACAGCATCAAATTGCTCCACCGATGTATGACCTACCACCAGCTGGGGGCCAAGTTTGGGGAGTTACTGTCCTCAACAGTCTCACCAAGATTCCAGAGTCAGATTTTTCTTTTAGTTTTTAATTGTGCTAAAATACACAGACAACTGTCTTAATCATTTTTAACATTTCTAAGTGTACATTTCAGTAGTGTTAAGTATATTCACAGTATGGTGCAACCCACCAATCTCCAGAACTTTTTCACCTTGCCCAACTGAAACCCTGTCCCCACGAAACAACAAGTCCCCATCTCACCCTTCCCCCAGCCCCTGGGCACCACCACCCTACTTTCTGTTTTTATGAATCTGACTACTGTAGGTATACGCCTCATATGAACTGAATCACACACTGTTAATATTTTTGTGACTGATTTCATTTAGCATAATGTCCTCGAAGTTCACCTGTGTTGAGGCATGTGACAGACTTCCCTTCCTTTTAAGGATGAGTAGCATCCCACTGCAAGTACGAGCTGCTTTTTGTCTATCCTTTCATCAACAAAGGGCTCTTGGGTTGATGCCACCTCTTGGCTATTGTGAAACAGTCAGATGTTTTAAAGTACTGTCAATCTCATGGACAAAAAAATAAGATCCCTGTTTTTAAACTCGCATTCTGACTACTAAAAAGAGAGCAATCCTCGTGTTTATTGACTACACACATTTTCTCTACCTTGCTCTCTTCCTTTCTTTTTGTAGAGTTTATTTCTGAATTCCAGGTACGAACCCTTTCCCAGTTATATTTATTACAAATATCTTCTCCCAATATGTGGCTTTTAAATTTTCTTGTAGTGTCTTCACTATACTAGACTTTCACATTTTAATACTATAAAACCTGCCAATCATTTCCTTTATGGTTTGAGCTTTGGTAGTTTTATTTCAAAAGTTCTTTACTTCCTACCTTGAGATCAGGAAGATAGTCTATTATTTTAAAAGTATTAGTTTACTTTTTACATTTAAATCTTTAAACTACTCGGAATACATTTTCGTGTATGGTACAGGATGGAAACGCATCCCTCTTTTCCATAAATCACCGGACAAATGAGACCTGGGTCCCTGAGCACAGGACAAAGCGAGGACACCTGAATTTGTCTAAGTGCAGGAGGTGATGGCTGGAGGACGCTAAGGACATCGCCTGACACAGTGCCCATCACCGAGAGATATGAAGGGCACCCACAAGGACGTGTCCACAGCTGCCCCGGACACACGGAGCCAGTGGAGAGCTCTCCTGGCTCCCGGGTCAATTGGTGCCTTCCACTCACATCTGGAAAAGGTCCAGCTTCTAGAAAGGATTGCCCTGACTGACGTGTGGGCAGTGCCTCAAACATTTCAGTTAAAAACTATTTCAAATTTTTTACTTTCTAAACATCCCCTAAGCCAGGTGAGAACCTCAACGTCTCCAAAGGATTCAAGCGGTTCGAGGCGGAACAAAGGCACTGCTGCCATTCCCGGAGTCCGCCGCAAGGTGGCAGCCCTGCGCAGGCCAGTCAAATGCTCTCCCGCAGGCCTACCCTCCAAGCTTCATTAAAAAACAAACTAATTTTAAAGGTGGCCTTGAAATGACGCAAACAAAGACCTTGTTCGGGACGTTGGCCCAGCAGAGCCCACCCCCACCTCTGCAACAGAATCTGGAGTCTAGGCCATGGCTTGACCTTTCTTCATGGGTAAATAGTCCTCCCAACGCCCTAACCACGAGGAGCTTGGGTCAGCGCCTGACATCCCAGGAACCATCAGGGCAGATGGGTAACCAGTTCCCAGTGAGACGGGGTTGGTCAGGGAAAACCCCAGAGCAGACCCAGAGATCCTTTCCAATGCTTAACCCACCTGTGATAACATGGTGGGATCCAGGAACAGAGGGACCCAAGGGAGATCAGGCCGATACCCTGCGCCGTTTGGGCCACGGCTCCACCCATTCCACAGGCAGAAACTGCATGACAAGGTCTGGCCAATCTTGAGCTGAAATCGATCTTCCCCAACCTCTAACCTCTAGTTCTCAGCTAGCCCTCGAGTCACGCAGAATAACCCTCTTCCCACAGAACAGTATCCACATGTTCAAAGAGGCTCAAGGGCCCCCACACATTTCCCAACTTTCTCTACAAGCAGGGCTCAGAGTCATGCCTGGCAAAGGTAATCAAATGCATCTGAAGAGATCTGGGGAAAGCACAGCCACTGTTAACTCCAGAGAGTTGAAAAACTAAATTATTAGTCTAGACTTTTTTCCTTTTCATCATTAGATTACGTTCTTAGCAGGAAGTTACACACACACACACACACACACACACACACACACACACACACGCATGCACAATAACAATTAAATGTTAGCTTCGCAGCTAAGGCTACAGTGGAAGTCTGAGAGAGAGAGAATATTGA